GATATTCGTAGAGAAATCTTTGGCCAAGAAGCAAAACACTAAAACAGAGAAAAAAGAGGATTTGATTAAAGAGGAAATCAAAGTCATCACCCCAAACTCAAAACCATAGAACCAATTGCACACCCACACTCGAAGCCAAAGATCAAGAAATAGTCAAATTTGAGCCAAAAAACATAAGCAATGAACATAACCTAAACTTTGACGCATACCCAGAAGAAGCTTGGACGATCAAAACGCGGCTCTAGAAGCAACTTAACCAGCAAACATATAAAGCGGACTATAACGCAGGGGCAAAAGGCAACATAGCAAAGAACCAACGATCAAGTAGTCTTACCATCGGAAAACAGAGACGACAGCGACGCCAAAGCAATAATAATCTGACGATCATAAAACAAATTATAATGTATCATTCTAATATATTCGATCACAAAATTCATAAAACCATCTTCGTTTTTATGCATTTAAAAAAAAACAAAATTGTATTATCCTTTTTTTTTTTTTTAAGTACACCTATTGCATTAAAAACTCTTACTGAATGAAAGTATTATGATCCGTGGGAACAAAGCAAGGAACGTTCTCCAAAGACATGAGACTCTCACTGTGATTGGAAAACCAATGGATGTTGTGAATTCGAATTCCATTACGAATCCAGAATTCGTTGTCTCCAATCCCTTCACACTCGATCCTCCTTGTACGCTCTCTCTTTGGATGATAATATAAAACACAAAATGTTTCATATGTTTTTGCAACAAAAATGAACTCACCAGTATCATGAGTAACACCCCGCAGGAGCAGTGACATTCCAAAAATTGGGTCAGGTTGAGAAAAGATTGGAAAAGGCAAAAGAAAGTCTCTAAGCGACCATTCTTGTCTCTCTCCATCCTCCAAAACTCAAAATCTTAAAGAAGAGACGCTGTAGCAAACCCATGCTAATTTTCCTTGGTAGTTGAGCAAAAGTCTGTCAAGTGTAGGATCAGCTGGCTTTTTGATCGTGTTGAACGTTTCGTACCTCACATGGAAGCTCATAAGGAGATGTTCATATTCCAAAGGATCATCATCCAAAAGTATCTTCGCTTCATAGTACACATGCCCGTTGACGCATACACCTATTCTTCCCTCGGAGTTTGTAGGTTGATGTAAAGGACAATTATTAGTCAATCTCCATGATTCTTGAGGTCCCAATGTAAAAACAAGAGGATAGTTGCATTTGTAGCCTGAGATGCACAATACTTTATACTTACCCTCCACCGGATCGTATCCTAAACAGCTACTTATATACTTGACTCTGGGCCCGGGTTCGGGTAAGGTAACGTTTTGTCTCATGGAAGGATTCCAAACTACGATGTTGTGATCATCCCCGTAACACACCAAGCTCTGGACAGGTTCGGAAAACGGACTATGGTAGTAATCGAGTGGAGGGGACTTTATCTCATAGCGGTCGACGACAGGTGAGTAAGATGTGTCCGGATGCACATGTTGGGGCAGTGTGATAAATAAACGCGTGTAACTTGTCTTGACGCAGACCATAAGACGCAGCCGAGTCGAAGACTGAATTGCGAACGACCTGATGAAATCTGGAGGAGTGGTGATGGACGACCATAGCTTCGAGAAGCAACGGAACCTCACAGCAGATTTAGCTGGCAGTTTCAAGAGAATATCAGGAATCAGATCAAGCGGAATAAACTTACCAATGCTCGACTCTATACTTCTCTCCCCATCTCCCGTTTCTTCTTCTTTTTGTCTATCCATATCGCCGGTTTAAACCCTAGCTATAATAAACTTGTCTAATTGTGGTCTCTCTTTCACGCACG